AAAAAAAAAAAAAAGCCCTTCTGGGCTTAAAGAAAAGACAAAGAATCCTTCTAGATGTTTGGGGGCAAATCCATCCACTTTTGCCTGATCCAGCCCCTAGAGGCGCCCAAATTCCTTGGCCAGTGAAGTCTGTCTCATCATTGCTGACTCTTCTGCACCCTCTTCTTAGATGAGGACATTTGTGGTTGCCCTGGACACATCCAGGGACCATCTAGGAAGTGATAGGTTTTTTTCAGGTGCCCTGCACAGCACAGAAACAAGCAGAAGGAAAAAGGAAAAAGGGCTTTCTTATCTTTGAGGACAGGGAGAGAAGGTGGGGAAGAAATTCTCTAGAGTTGAACAAAGGGAGGCTGAGGCTTTTATGGCCTTTTGCCAGGGGTGGAGTTTGAGGGGGATGTTTAGATATATCTGAGGGAGCTGATTGGGGTCTTCTCTGAGGCAGCTGGAAGGGTGAAAGCTGCACCCTGGGCTGAGTTGGAGAAGAAGGTGGGAGGTGGTCTAGGGGAAGATGGGCTTTTGTTTTAAGGGCTTCAGCCATATTAGATGACCATGATAATGATTCAGCAATTTATACTAGGGCCAGAACCTATGAGGAAAAAAATGGTCATAAGTCCCAGAAGACCGTGACTGTGACAGAAGCACTCTGGGTGGGTTAGTCTCCCCATCCTAAAATCCTAACTTCCTCATATCTGAAAAGTCCTTTTTATCAAATAGGGTAACACTCGCAGGTTCCAGGAGTTGGGATATGGGAATTTTGGGGAGGCCGTTATTCTACGTAACACAAGCACCACTTACAAACTTCACCCACAACAAAATCTCACTTCACCTTTCCTTCTCTTTCACCCATCTGTTACAGAAGCAAGAAGACAAACTTGGAGGCGAAACATGAACTGCTCCACCTCCTTGAGCCTCCTTTCTCATCAACAACACAAGGATAACTCACCGCTCCAGGAAATGACAGTAAAGGGTAAATTACGGTATATGAGGCTGCTTCGGGCTGAGTCCTCAGGAAGACCTTCAGCTCCTCACACCCTCCCATCTTCCTTCTCTTCCACTTCCTCTCATCCCTGTCCATTTTCTTTGTCTCCTTCTCACTCCTCAGTGATCATCAGCAGAGAAGGCCGAGCTGCCCATTCTCTCATGCTTGTGCTCAGATATTCTTGTGGTGGAATTAGCTGCCTACTCAGGGCAGTCCACATATTTATATGGGAGATGTCTGGTTTTAAAAAAAATTTATTTTTTATGTTCACATAAGACTTATACATCCTTTCTGTTGTTTACACACAAGTCCCAGTTATGTCTTTTATTTGTTTCCTTATTACACCTTCTTCAATTTTTCGCTTTTTACCCTACAAATAAAGGTAGGGTAGAGAAAAAAATAATGACCTGGGGCGCACTAGGGAAACCCTTCAGCAAGATGAATGCCATGCACAAAACATCCTGACCTTCTACAAAGCCAGATGATTCTAGGACATTTTCCTAGATTCATAGCAGTCTGGAACTGTGACAGAAGCCACACTCATTCTGGGTACTCCTGCTGCTGCATAAAAGTATTTCTACAGAATGTTGTACATGAGTTATTCCCCCCCCCCAATCCTTCTATTACAGAGAACTAAATTAAATAGAAATATCTTCAGCAGTCTGATGGGGCTGGGCCCTCAAAGTAGTCAATGAAGAAGACCAGACCACATTACAACTGTTGCTGGAGGCACTTCCGCTGAGGACCAGGTCTCAAGATAAAGATGGATGAGCAGGCCTACATATCTCCCTGAGGGATAAACAACAAGAAATGACTATTCTAGATAGGCATCAGTCACCCAGGTGGGTGACCAGGACCTCATGACCATTGTCTTCCCAAAAAAGGTCCTTGTTCTTTCCATGTACACCTGCTATATGACTCACCTCCCCACTGGATCAATATTACCTAAACAACTATACTTGTAATGCTATTCATTGATCATAAATTTTTTTATGTTTGCACATGCAAGTCTGATTTATTTCACTTATGAATATGGTCTCTACTTGCATCTATTTACCTATAAAAGCCTATAAAAATTTATCTTTTTATAGCTAATACTGCATTCTATAAAAATACCACATGTTGTTTGTCCATTCCTCCATAAATGGGCATTTGGGTAGTTTCTAAGATTTAGCTGATAGGCTCTGACCCTAGTAGGAGTTGGTGAATTATTATGGTGGTCATCTAATGTGGCTGAAACCCTTAAAATAATAGTTTATCTTCCCAGAGACCACCTCCCTCCTTCTTCTCCAACCCAGCAGGATGCAATTTTCTTTCACCTTTCCCCCCACCACAAAGACCCCAATCAGCTCCTCAGATATTTCTAAACATCCCCTTCAAATTCCACCCCTAACGAAAGTTCATAAAAGCCTCAGCTTTCTGTGTCTCAGGCTGGAGGATCTACCTGACCCATCTGTCCTCGATCCTCCCCATGTCTTTGGGCTTAATAAAGGCTTCAATGAAGAAACGGGATCTGAAATGGGCCATGAGACAAAGAATAATTTAGGAAGCAAAACAGAAAGGCAAGGGTGTTCTACGAACAAAGGAAGAAAAGAAGATAACATTATTTTGAGTACAGAAATGGGAAAATAAAGTGTCGGTCAGGCCTACTGTGTAACTCTTGGGAGCAGAGTAGGGCTATTCTCTAAGGGATCCGAATAGCAGCCTAAGAAATTTAAGCCTCACCCTGTAGAGAGAGTAACTGGGATGCTTTGAGAGGCTCAGAGAGTTAACTAAACAGCCCCATGTGGAAAAATTACTCCGAGCTAGGCAAATTGCTTGTTGAGGAAGTTTTCCCTTAACTTTGGCTCTGGCCCTAGTATGAGGTGCTGAATTATTACGGTGGTCATCTAATATGCATAACGAGACTGTGTCTCAAAAAAAAAAAAAAAAGGGCCAGCGAGATAGCTCTGGGGTCCTGCGTGCCCCGCCCCTGGGGCGCAAACAGCCGGTGCCTGAGACCCGGTGTGGCGGTGCCCGCCTGAAATCCCAGAGCTGGGGAGGCTGAAAT